TTTATGCGACTCCGTGGGTGGGCCCGGGAGTGTACTGCATCACGTTTCCCAACCGCACCCGCCTCTTTTTCATTTCCTCTTTTCATATTAAATTTCCCTTTTATCGTTAAAAAAAAGTTAAAATATTATTTTGATTTCTAGCTTCCATTTATTTTAGTTTTTCCAAGAGGTTTATTTTGATGGTAATACTCTTAATTTTATTTATTTTAGTTTTTAACTTTTAACATTTTAGTCCACGTACTTTTAAAAATTGGTCATTTTAAATCTTTCTTTACAAAATTTTAACACAAATTGTACATATAACTTAAACTCGTTAGTATAAAGCAATAACATTTTAAGAAATATATTGATTGTAGCGTCGTGTTAAAATTGTGATAGAAAAAATAAGATTAAGAATAAAATTAAGGGACCAAAATTGTTGCTTTTAAATCGTACATAGACCAAAATAAATATTTTGAAACTACATGGATTTAAATGAACAAAAATTGAAAGTACATGCAAAAAATGAACCAAAACTGAAAATATACAGATGAAACTAATATTTTAACCTAAACAAATATTTGACATCTTTCATTTTAAGTTTCAGTTCAATGTCATTCAATTTTATGGCTTTTGAGTACTTTAAATTTTAAGATTAAATTAAAAGATATAATATAAATATTTATATTTTTAGTGATAGTATTTATAGATTCAATGTTATCAATTATTTTATAGTATATTTTTGGTTTCACAAAACAAAAAATTTATAGTCTACTTAGGTAGGATGAAAATCAAAACAAATTAGACAAATTTAATAAAGAAGACATTTAATAAAGAAGATATAAATCTTATTAGTTTTTTTTAATCAATGATATCTTATCTTCTTCTTTTTTTTTTCTGAGTAATAATCAATGATATCAAATTTCAAGACTTTTTTATATTTTTATTGATTTTATACCAACGTGACATCTGATAATCATTTGTTATTATAAAAACTAAAAATATGTCAATTATTAATAGTTAAAAGATCGACACAATCCTATAAAACTTGGTGACAATAGTATGTCAAGAGGTTTATTGAGTTTTTAAACCATTCAAAATTTTATACGAAATATATAAATTATATATGGAGTGTGGGATATGTTAATTGAGTAGGTTAATGATGTAAATAATACATAAACTATAATTTGAGTAATGATATTGGATGGGGGAGAAGGGAATAGTCAATAATGAATTAGAAAGAAAAATAATGGAATTAGGATTAAGAGGGAAATAGTTTTTAAGAGAGACAAAAGTATAAATTGTAAAGTTTGAGGGAAAGTATTAGGAAATAAGAGGAAAAAAATGAGAAAAATGGGGGGAAGTGGCATGGAGAGAGAAATTGTGTTTAAACGATAAAATTGTCACTCAAATAATAATAAAAATGATAGAAATTAAAAGGATAAAATAAGAAGAGAAAATTTATCCCAATAGCCAATGTCGATGTCAATGAAAATATTGAATTAAAAAATATCGAATAAAATATTGATGAGTTTTTTCCGTAAAAGTTAGAGAAATTAAAAAATATTTAAATCAACGAATAAATAGTTTTCTATTTCTAAAAAAATTTAAAATAATTAATATTAACATTACGGATACATTTATTTTGTTGATATTTATTGGATTGTT